GGATAAATGCAAAGTAAAGTTTTCAGGTAAGACTGGTGAATTTACGACTCAGATTTTCACATAGAAAAGTAATGAATGCTCTATGCTTCAGAAAAGAGGAAACTGAACTTAGAAAAAAAAGAATCATGATATACAGAAATGACAAAACAGGATGATAAATCTAAATTAGCACAGAATATGAAAAAAACAGGTAGGGGTATTCAAAGCAAAGGGGAAATAAGTATCATTTAACCTGCAAACAAGGGAAACCAAGTTAAACTATTCTGAGGTCTTTCCAGAAACAACAAAGGGAAAAAAATAAAGGGAAAACTTATTCAACCAATAAATGACAGAAAAGAACCAAAGAAAAGGCACAAATAGAAAACAAAAAATAAGGTGACAAAACAACTTCAAATCAACAAACAAAATACTATAAATTCACTTATTAGAAGGCAGAAATTATCAGAGAGTATAAAAGAAATGTTCTTAATAAAGCTAAATGACAAAGTTTGAAAATAAAAGAATGAAAAAGATGTAAAGACACTACAAATAATGAAAGGAATTATTCAAGAGGTTTTAAATAAAACGATATAGCCCCCAAACAAAAATGGACTCAATTATAAGGAGAAATCCTTAAGTTATAATTATAGCTGATTTTAGTACACCTCTTCGAGAAGGCAATGGCACCCCACTCCAGTACTCTTGCCTGGAAAATCCCATGGACGGAGGAGCCTGGTGGGCTGCAGTCCATGGGGTCGCTAAGAGTCGGACACGACTGAGCGACTTCACTTTTCACTTTCATGCATTGGAGAAGAAAATGGCAACCCACTCCAGTGTTCTTGCCTGGAGAATTCCAGGGACGGGGGAGCCTGGTGGGCTGCCATCTATGGGGTCGCACAGAGTCGGACACAACTGAAGTGACTTAGCAGCAGCACCTCTAACAGAAGCCAATACAGCTACTGGAGAAAAAAATAACGAGGATACCGCTATTATGGATAGCAAAAGTAATTAGCTTGCTATAAGTTATTAGTCAACAAATAGTAAATACACTATCAAAGAATACACTGAATATTTACAAAAATTCAACATGTACCTGGTCACAACTAAGTTTCAGAACACTTCTGAAAATAAATCATACATACATTCTCTGACCATAGTACAATTAATAATAAAATTTAAAATAACAAAAATAAAACAAGCAAACAAACAGATGCTTGGGAATCACAAAAACACACTCCTAAAATAAACACTATGAAAATTATAAAATATTCAAAACTAAATAATCAGAAAGAATAGAAATATAAAAACATATCTTGAAATACAGATTAGCTATGGTTGCAGAGAAATATTAAATGTATTAAATTTAAATGCAAAAATTAAGTGTATTAAAAATTAGAAAACTAAACTAAAAAAAGAAAAACTAAATCCACAATTAGAAGAAAAAGAAACTATAAAGATAAGGCTAATGAAAAAAATATTATATCACACAGAAAATCAGCAATAAAACCAAATGTTAATTCACTGAAAAGTAAAATCAAACATATACACTTCCCAATAAGACTGACAGAAAAGGTCCGAAAAGAAGATATGTATCAAGTTACAGATACAGTCAAGACTTAAAATATAAGAGCATAATTACAATAAATGTGTGTTAATACACATACATGAAGTGGACAGTTTTCTAGAAAACTAGCAAATAACCAAAATTTATTCTGGAAGCAATAATTATTAAAGAAACAATTCACAGGAAAAAAAAAACACACCTCACACTAGACAGTTTCACAATTTTAATCATAGGGCAGATGATCTCTGATTACAAGAAGCTTCCAAGAACAGAATAAAACAAAAAAAGAAAGCTACTCAGTTTATTTTATGAAGTCAGGATAATAATGATATCAAAATCAGAAAGGCAAAGAACTAGAAAAAAATGTAGGACCAATTTCACTTTGTGCTGTAATGAACACTGTGGTACGTATATCCTTCTGGGTGTTTTTCTCCAGATATATGCACAAGAGTGGGACTGTAGAGTCATTTAGTAGGACATACAGATGGCTAATAAGCACATGGAAAGACATTCAACATCACTAATTATTAGAGAAATGCAAATCAAAACTACAATGTGAAATCACCTCATACCAGTCAGAATGGCTATCATCAAAAAATCCATAAACAACAAATACTGGAGAGAGTGTAGAGAGAAGGGAATTCTCCTACACTGCTACATGGTACAGCCACTATGGAGAACAGTAAGGAGGTTACTTTAAAAAAAAAAACCAACTGCTCCAGTATTCTTGCCTGGAAAATTCCATGGAGAGAGGAGCCTGATGGATTACAGTCCATGAGGTCCCAAAGAGTTGGACGCAACTGAGCACCGCACACACAGCACAAAGCCAATATGGCTGATAATTGCTGTCCACCTGCAACTATTACAACATTGTTAATCAGCTAAACTCAAGTATAAAATAAAAAGTTAAAAAAATCCTACAGCAAATCTCAAATTAGTGATAAATTATTAAATGCAGACTAATGAAAATCATATCTAAGATAATAATGCTTACCACCACTTTTTCTATTCCATATTACACTGGAGGTTCTAATCAGATCAAGAAAAAAGATGCAGAAGAAACTATAAAGGAACAAAACTATCACAATTTGCATATGATATAACCATCTTTACAAAAAGCTCAAAGGACTCTGCAAAATAAGAGAGTTCAGCAGTGAAGACACTCTCAACAAATGTAGGTGTAGGATCAATAAACAAAAAATCAGTAATGTTTTTATACATACAACCAACTAGAAAATGAAGTAGGAAAAAAAGCCATTCACTATAACAAAAAAACTATAATGTACCTTGAAAAAATATTTAAGACTTTATGTAGTAATATGAGAAAATATTATTAATGGACACCAAAAACCCCTCCATGTAAAATAGAGATATATCATATCCATGGAAAGGCAGATTCAATAACATAAAGATATCAGTTCTCTGCAAATTAATCTATATGTCCAATTTAGTCGGCATTTAGCAGCAAGAAGTTTGGGGGAACGACTTGTCCTGCAAGCTATCAAGGTTAATTAAAACAGATACCACATAATCTTACTATTTAGCTATCTCGTTTTATGATACAGGCACATGGATTGGAATATCTATTGATTTAAGTGATCAGCATATTCCTTGGTTTACTGTTTCATATAGTGATTATTTCCTCCAACTATTTGACAAGAGCTGATTGTGAAAGATTCTAGATTGGGATCCCTGGGAAGTGCTGTGTTTGGTTAATTAAAACAAAATCCCCATATGCTTAGTACCAAGAAAACATGTGGCAAAATACTGTGTTATGATCTCATATTCTTGCCTACAAAGATGGCCAGACATTTCACCTTTATGCATAGTGCTGAGTGATCCACAAACTTCAAACAGGTCCTGGGAGCTACTTTGTTCAAACACCTCAGCACTGCACACCTCAGAGTACGCAGAACAAGTAACGACAGGGAGCCTTTACCACAAAACTTTTGCTAAAACAGAATATAGATGCCTGACTTTAAGCAGGACTACAGCCTTAAGGAGAGGCTTCCCAGGTGGTTCAGTGGTAAAGAATCTGTTTGTAACACAGGACACACAGTTTCCATCCCTGGGTTGGGAAGATCCCATGGAGAAGGAAATGGCAACCCACTCCAGTATTCTGTTTAGGAAAGTCTATGGACAGAGGAGTTGGGAAGGCTACAGTCTATAGGGGTTGCAAAAGAGACAAGACTTAGCAACTAAACAACATTAGCCTTAATGAAGGGCCAGGTGCAAAATATACTTTGTAATAACCAAGTGAATTAACCTAATACATGTATTTAGTGCTATGTGGTGCATGGTAATGAAAACAAAGCTTTTGGGTTTAGCTGACTCAGAACTGTTTATGGACAACAGATCCACTGATAAAGTACACTGTTACTAGAATAATAGGCCCATTTTATCAAACAGTGGAAGATAATTATTTTCTACATGCTATGGGAAGCTAACATGTCTACTTTATCTAAATATAGTACGCTTCAGTTTTAACTCTAAACATGCTTTCATTTTAGGTACAGATCATTTGGTAACTACGTTTAACCACCTGAGGAATTGCTGGGATGTTTTGCAAGTTTTAAATTACATTACTTTAAATTAATTAAAAAGAAAGCAAACTTACTTTGGTAAGAGTATACATGAGGGCAAATAAAAGACATGGTCTGTGACCTCGTGGAACTCAGTCCAGCGCGGAAAACAGACACAAAGTAAACGAACAAATGAATTTACAGTAACAAGTTACACTAATAGCAAAGAAAATTTAATCAGACAATAAAAGAGTAATAGGAAGCCTACTTATCATAGTCAAAAAAGGCCACTCTGGTAGACAAAAACGAAAGACGTCACGATTACACAGAGGTAGGAGCCAAGTGTGACAGAGCTTTTGAAGTGCAACTGGAAACCACCGCAATGTTTTAGGCAAGGGAGAGACAAGATCAAATTAACAAGATTACTGACATCTGCATGACAACTGGGGGATGAAGAGTGGAGTGGTCCAAGAGTGAAAACACGTGTGGTCAGGATAACTGTAATTACACTGAGAATAGGTAAGGAAACTCCACCAAACGTGGATAAGAATGAAAATTCCAAATGCCCTGAGAAACATACTTTGCGTTTAAAAACCAAATCTAAAAGAAATTTACATATGTAAACTCTAGGAACTTGAAATTAAATGGCATTCCTTTAACTAGAAACTGAACTATTGGCTGGCAATTCGCGCTATCTAAACTACTAGCAATATCATCTTGCTGACGAACAGGTTTACTTATTTGGGTAAAATTTACCTTCACTTCCAACACCTACAAGGACGCAGCTCAAGAAAAGATAAAGAAGGGCAAGTAAATGGGCTGAGAAGAAAATGCTGGACAATGAACGGTCTCAAAGATCCAGTCACCAGGAAAAACATTTGTAAGCAGCCTCATTTAGGTGAAAGAAGAAAAAGCTGAACCGCCGAAGTTCTTACTTATATTCTTCCTCCTTGGCGAGGAGGTCCCGCCGAGGCGTGGCAGGTTGCTGAATGCGTGGCGGGAGCGGAGTCCCTGAAACGCCCGGTCTCTGTAAAAGAGGCAGACACTTTCAGAACCAAAAGTTCAATAAATTTTGGTGTCCTCAGGACGCCGAAACCTAGCTGCTACCCAGGAGAGGCCAGTTGAACTAACCTTAAAACTTCTCCCAGCCATCTTTCGCGGCCGCGACGCCGTTACCGAGGCAACGACGCACTTTCCCGCGAGACTTACCACAACCCCGGCGGCCTTCCAGCTCGGGGCACGATTCGGTCCACGCCCCAACTCTTGGCAAAAACCCGCGCGAGCTTAGGACCCGGCTGAGAACTGGGGAGTGTGCGCTGCGGTCTTTGTACCCGACTTGCGGTAAGCGCTAACCTCAGTCTTGCAGGAACTGAAGAAGCCAAAGCCGTGGACTGATTTATCGAATGTGAAAGACTACAGATCTCTTCAAGAAATCAGAGATACCAAGGGAACATTTCATATAAAGATGGGCTCAATAAAGGACAGAAATGGTATGGAATCTAACAGAAGCAGAAGGTATTAAGAAGAGGTGGCAAGAATACACAGAAGAACTGTACAAAAAAGATCTTCAGGACCCAGATAGTCACGGTGGTGGGTGGTGTGATCACTCACCTAGAGCCAGACATCCTGGAATGTGAAGTCAAGTGGGCCTTAGGAAGCATCAATACAAACAAAGCTAGTGGACGTGATGGAATTCCAGTTGAGCTATTTCAAATCCTAAAAGATGATGCTGTGAAAGTGCTGCACTCAGTATGTCAGCAAACTTGGAAAACTCAGCACTGGCCACAGGACCAGAAAAGGTCAGTTTTCATTCCAATCCCAAAGAAAGGAAATGCCAAAGAATGCTCAAACTACCACACAATTGCACTCATCTCACACACTAGTAAAGTAATGCTCAAAATTCTCCAAGCCAGGCTTCAACAATATGTGAATCGTGAACTTCCAGATGTTCAAGCTGGATTTAGAAAAGGCAGAGGAACCAGAGATCAAATTGCCAANGAGTTGAACTATAAAGAAAACTGAGCACCGAAAAATTGATCCTTTTGTACTGTGGTGTTGGAGAAGACTCTTGAGAGGCCCTTGGACTGCAAGGAGATCCAACCAATCGGTCCTAAAGGAGACCAGTCCTGGGTGTTCATTGGAAGGACTGATGTTGAAGCTGAAACTCCAATACTTTGGCCACCTGATGCGAAGTGCTGTCTTATTTGAAAAGATGCTGATGCTGGGAAAGATTGAAAGCGAGAGAAGGGGACAACAGAGGATGAGATGGTTGGATGGCATCACTGACTCAATGGACATGAGTTTGAGTAAACTCCAGGAGTTGGTGATAGACAGGGAGGCCTGGCGTGCTGCAGTTCATGGGGTTGCAAAGAGGTAGACACAACTGAGGGACTGAACTGAACTGAAGCTGGCGATGGAAGGGTATCAACCAAAGAAGACAGGTCCATTTCTAATAGTAGGAAGCAAGCTAGTAAAACACCTACTCTTTTGCGCAAACTCTGTTGTGATTTCCAAACTAAATAGCCCATTTGATCTTCAGTTTGTTTTGTTTAAAATGAACTATTTAGTGGAATTTCAAGTTTTGATTCCTCACATTTATTTACAGCATGGTTAAAAGCTCAGGCTCTCAAGGCAGTCATCTTAAGTTCATGTCCTGGGTCTGCCACTTACTAGCTTGGGGAAATCATTACCTCAGCTACCTCATCTGTAAAGTAAGGGTAAGAATAGTGCCCATCTCACAGAGTTACTTAGAGGAGTAAATGAATTTGTGCTTTGGATTGTTCCTGGAACAAAGTAAACAATAAAAATTCCATTTGGGGGAGAGGGGAATAAACTTGGGAATCCAGAAATAAACTTCACATTTAGGGGCAACTGGTCTTCAGCAAAGGTGCCAATACCATTCAGTGGGGCAAGTCTAGTCTTTTTTGAAGGTGGGAGGAGAAGGGGATGACAAAGGATGAGATGGTTGGTTGGTATCACTGACTCAATGGACATGAGTTTGAGTAAACTCTGGGAGTTGGTGATGGACAGGGAGGCCTGGCGTGCTGCAGTCCATGGAGTCGCAAAGAGTCAGACATGACTGAGCGACTGAACTGACTGACTGGAAAACAGTTTCGCATTTTCTCAAAACCATACACATAAAATTACCACACGATCCAGCAGCCCACTCCTAGCTATATGCCCAAGAGAAATGAAAACATATACCCTTACAAAAAGTTGTACACAAATGTTTATAGCAGTATTCTTCAGAAAAGACAAAAAGTGAAAATGACTCAAATGATACACTGGTTAATAGGTAAATAAAAAGTGGGACATTCATCAATGGAATATTATTCAGGGCCAGAAAGGAATGAAGTACTGATGCATACTACAATATGGATGAACCCTGAAAACATGCTATGTGAAAAAAGCAATTCACAAAAGACCACATATTATATGATTCCATTCTATTAGGACCACATATTATATGGAATGTCTCGAACAGGTAAATCTATAGAGACAGAAAGCTGTTCAGTTATTGCCTAGTCCTAAAAGATAATGGGGAATTGACTAAGGTGTTGCCAGATTTGGAGGGGGGGTTGGTGGGAGTAATGAAAATGTTTTGAAAGTGATTGTGATGATGGTTGCACAAATCTGTCAATATACTAAAAGACAATTAATAGTACACTTTATATGGATAAATGGTGAGTATGTAAAATACATCAGTCAAGTTAAAACATTAAAAATAAAATTAATTATTAAAATAAAAATGTCAAAAGATGAGGAAAAGGTATGCCATACTAACACTAATCAAAAGAAAGCTGGAGTAGCCACATTAACTTCAAGCAAAGTGACCTCAGAACCAGAAAAACTATCAGAGATAAAGAGGAACATTACATAAAGGATAAGGAGATCAACTCTCCAAGGAGATATAGCAATCCTGAATGTGTATGAACCAAACAGTTGAGTGTCAAAATGCATGAGGCAAAAACTAATAGGAGTGCAAAGAGAAACAGATAAATCCACAAGTACATTTGGAGGTATCAACACCTCTTTTTCAGTCATTAATAGTTCAGGGAGGCAGAAAATCAGTAAGGATGGAATTGCCCTGAACAGCACTATTAGTCCCAAGGAATCAGCAAAAATCTGCTTGATCTAATCGACATTTAGAGACTACTCCAACAACAGCAGAATACACATTCTTCTCAAGGTCACATGGCATATTTACCAAGATAGACCACATTCTGGGCCATAAAATGCACATTAATAAATTTAAAAGAATAGAAATTATATTCATTTCCTAGAATTGCTATAAGAAAGCACCACAAACTGGATGGCTTAAAACAAAATAAACTTATTGTCTCCCAGTATAGAGACTGGTAGTCCAAAGTCAAGATGTTAGCAGGGCAGTGCTCCTTTTGAAACCTGTAGGGGAGAATCCTTCCGTGCATTTTCCTAGTTTTTGATGGTGGCTGTCACTCCCTGGCGTTTCTTGGTTTGTAGCTGCATCCGGCCAATCTCTGCCTCTACAATCATAGCATTCCCCCTGTGTGTCTCTGTCTACACACGGCATTTCCTCCAGTCATACTGGATTAGAACCCACCTTAATGACCTCATCTTGACTTGATTACATTTGTAAAGACCCAATTTCCAAATAAGGTCACATTCACAGATTAAGAGGAGAGGTGTGTGTATGATGGGTTAGGACTTCAGCTTCTTTTTGGAGGAACACAGTTCAATCTGTAATAATAGAAATTATATAAACTATCTTCTGAGGTATAACATAAAAAATCTGGAAAACCCAAAATATTTGGAGATTAAACACACTTTAAAATAATACATGGGAATAATACATTAAAATAAAATATTTTATTTAAACAAATAAAATACTTATTTTAAATAAAATATTTTAATAAAAATACATTAAAATAATACTTCTTCAAAGAAGTCTAAAAAGAAATGTAAAAGTAGTTTGAACTCAGTGAAAATGAAAATACAATCTACCAAAACTTGTAGGATACAGTGAAAGCAGCACTTAGACTGCTTAGCATTAAATGTATATATTAGAAAAAAAGGCAAATCTAAAACCAACAATCTAAGGTTCCACCTTAGGCAATGGGAGAAAGAAGAACAATTTAAGCTTAAAGAGAGCAAAAGAAAAGAAATAATAAAAATTAAAATAGAAATTAATGGAATTGAAAACAGGAAAACAGAGAAAAATCACAGAAACCAAAATCAGTTCTTTGAAAAGATCAATAAATTCAATAAACCTCTGGCCATATTAACCAAGAAAAAAAGTGAAGGCACAAAATTACCTATTATGTGTTCTTTTATGTGATGGTCAGATGTAACCACAAGAAAAGGTACAGAAGAGGCTCAAGAAAATAAAGTTCATTATACTCATAAGTTTTATAACTAGGAGGTACAGAATGCCATGCACGGCTCCATGGCAAAGTCCCAGGGTAGTAGGAGGCAGAAAACATGAGCTAAGGGAAAACCTAAGCTACCCTGCAAAAAAAGCAAGGCAAAGAGAACAGTTTAGGACTGGCTAGTTTGAATTATTTGACCAGGCTTTAAGTTTTGGGGGCTGTTCCCAGCTGTCTGGTACCTGGCCCTGGGATGATTAATAAAACAAAGGAACATTGCCTCCTAAAGTGTACAGGCCAGGTAGAGAGGGTGTGACTCTACACTGGTCAGTTGGCGTATTTAAGGTACACTCCTGGCTGAGCCCTTTTGCTATCTCTGAGAATTGGCTAGGTCAATAAGTCTCATCAGCCAGAAAGGTTTTTTCTTTTTTTTTTTTTTTTAAGATGTCAAATCATAATAATACGCAGAAAAAAATTTAAATAAACAATTTAATATCATTATTAAAATGGGATCAGGATCACCATTAATTATCCCATGAACACTAAAAGGAAAAGGAGTACTATCAACAACTACATATGCAGAAATTTTATAAATTAGGTGAAATGAACCAATTCCTTAAAAGATGCAAACTACCAAAATTCACATAAAGAAACATAGATAATGAATAATTAAGGACAGAGTCAATAGTTTTCTAAGAAAGCAGCAGAACCAGATGGTTTCACTTACGAATTCAACTAACATTCAAGGATGAAATGATACCAATTCTCCACAATCTCTTCTAAAAAATGGAAAGGGGACACTCCTAACTCACTCATGAGTCCAGCATTACCCTAATACCAAAAGCAGTTAGGGACATATA